TTTGTGCTCAGGACCTAGCCCAGCAGAGTAAACAGAGAGAGGTGGTGAGGAGCGAGTTGCCATCTGCCTGCTCAGAATGTCTGTGATAGATATCACTGAGGGCTTACAGCAGGTGATGCCTTTGTCACTTGCTCTACCTGCCCAAAAACCAAAAATTTAGCCAAGCAAGTTGAGATAACTTGAGATCTGTCAGGTGAAAATGTCTGGATTACCAGGCAAGGGTGTCTCCAGAAGATTTAAAAAAACGTTTCACCTTCCCTTCTCTCCTCAAAAAGCACTATGCCTTACACAAAGCACCAAGCACGCCCTGTATCTTTTAAGCATTTATGAGGGTTTTGATTGTTTCCATCTCTCAGCCAGGAAAATGGGATGGATTCAGCCCTTTTCACTGTCCTGATGTCCTCTGCCAGCTGCTGTTCTTACTTCTGTAGAGTCTCAGGCTTATGGAGTGATACTCCTTCTTTCTAACTGTACCTGGCTAGGGCTTACTTACCTAGCAAAGGCCCTACCAGACCACAGAAATAAGCACTTCTCTTTCCTTTGCTCTTCTTTTTTCTTTCCACCCCTCACTCCTAAGGATAGTGACTTACTATTTCTTTTTCCTCCTTTATCCTGCCATATTAACCTTTCCAATATATGCTGTGTATAGTCTTCCTCTAATTCATGTCCACACTTACCAGCCAGATCCTCTCCAGTCTTATAAATCCCAGGTCAAATTTACTCTTCTACAGAGCTTTTACTCTTAATGTCTTTTTGCAAAAATTATTATTTAAATGTGTTTTTTTAGGATTTTCAGTACCCATTCACCATAGTTATACACTTTTGCAATCAAAAACAAAAATGTGAGGTAGACCACCAAAATTATTTCTAAATAGCTTTGGAGAGCACTTGAGAAAGGGTGAGCAGTTTTTTGGGTTTGAACCAGGTTTTTATAATTCATTCAGTAGTGAAATTTTAATAAACATCTTTTTGCTACAGTTATTTCATTTTTCCAGACTATCCACTTTTATACAACACAGGATTCCTTATGCTGTATTTCTAGGATAGTTTATTTCATTCCATTTCTCAAGGCCATTGCTGCCTACACACTCTTAAACTTTGCAATGCTTCTATGCCAAACACATAAATACCTTGATAACAATTTAAAAAAAAATATGAATATTAATGAAAAGAGGGGATGTGCACAGAAAAAAAATTAATTTAGCACAAAGATTATCTGTGGCTTATCTAAGAACGACAGCAGGATTTGTTCTGTGGTCCAGCTGATCAGGCAGACACAGGTACTGCAAGAACCTTTTTTTCCTGCTTCCATAGAGAGGATTAATGTTAAGGCATACAGTTCTCTGTCAGGACTATTAATTGCCTAAATTCCTCAACCTAAAGGAAAAAATTCAACTCAGCAATAAGCATCTGTCAAAAGATGGTGTGTTTTTTTCTCAAAGCAGTGGTGAAGTGGTAGGGGCTGCTAGCCTCTTCCAAGGAGGGCTGGTAGACCTCCCTACCTCATGTGGGGTCACCACTCCTCACCATGCTTCACATCAGTGCACCCCAAGAGGTCTCTCCATGGAGCAAATCCATTCTCCAGCTTTTTTGTAGCCTGCACACTGCCCTGGACTCTGTTCATGCGGGGCAGTGGGTGAAGCCTCAAGGCGTGGGGGAACAAGTCACCATGTGCTCCCACTGCCTGTGGCCTGGGCTTCCTTTTCCTCCCACAAGCAGCAGAGGAGAGCACGTCTTCACACATGATCCCAACACGTCTGATGGTGCTGTGACTCCCAAATGCCAGACTGCTGGCCCAGAGGTCAGGGTGTCTGAGGCACCTCAAGGTGTAGCTGTAAGGGCTTGGTCCTGTGTTTTATTACAGCTGGTGGACTTACCAGCTCTTGTGCTACAGACACTGGCACGAGCATCATGAGTTCCAAATAAGGCTGCTGGGTGGCCTTTTACATCCAGACATCAGTTTCTACCATCAGTGGCTTTGGATCCAACCAGACAATAGCTCTGAACTAGGATGCCGTGTCCCTGTGGCGATGCAGCAGCTGCCAGCAGCTGCTCCCTCTGCGGCATGCCCCTGGCTTTCCATCCAGCCTCCACTCTCCCTCCATCTCCCCGAGCTCTGTGAGCAGAACCGCATACCTTGTGAGGACACAGGTTGCATATAATTAAACGACAGCCACTGAGGAAGACAACCTCCCAAGCCACAGAGTGGTTTGGTGTTCCAATCTGTGGTCATTTATGATGAAGAAGTATTTTCTGAAGGAAAACAGGCCATTATTGAAATAGCTGCTTCTCCCGAGTGTTTTCAGCTCTCCATCTCTCTGGGGCTGTAATGAGACTGCAGCTCCATCCAGGCTCAGACTCAGGCACTTTTCAGTTCCTAGTCATGTTTCCCCACTTTGCTACTGCCACATAGCCACAGCGTGCATCGGGATGATCTGCACTCACCAAGCAGGAGGAGGAGGAGTTAAAGAGCTGATTTACCACCTTGGAGACAGGGACTGTAAATCACAGATCCTATTAGCAGGCTTAGGTGAGGCAGATGAAGAGGGCTTACTTGCCCACACTGGACTGCAGTCCTGGATGTCAAAAGGACCTTTTCAGACGAGGAGTGCTGAAGACCAAGTTCCAGAATGCTAGTACCTGCCAAGCCCAGGTTCCCCAGCACACTGATATCCCCATAGCAACTCTGTTCAGAAAGACAAAGTGATGTAACAGCCATAAATGGTTTAAAAAAAAAAAGAAGGAATACTGCATAGGAATGTATAACATCACCACAGGGACACATCAAACACCTCTATTTGGCCAGACTGACAAATATCAAAGAGTTGGTGAAACGTGGTGCTGACCTGGTCTTTAGTGGGCCCCCAGAAAGGATGACTCTGGAGAAGAATGCCCTAAAACAAAACAATGTGCTCTTTTTCTGGCAGGCTACATCATTGTATTTTTGTTGTTAGGATAGTCTCTGCTTGTCAGGGGCCACTCTCTTAAACCTTCATGGCATTTATGCTGCACAAACATATTTTAAAGTAGATGCAAATGTCCCTATAAATATTAGTAATATGAGAACAGAGCCCTAAGGAAAATTACTAGATAATAGTCACTTTGAAAACTTTGTAGCATCAAATGAATATGGTATTCATGAAGTGTTTTGCAGTGGGAAAAATTTTGGAGTCTGGGTTAAACTCTTACTTTAGCACTTATTCTTTTGCAATTACTGACATGGAATTATATCATTCCACAGGAACTAGTTCTAAAAGGTACATTTAATGTGAATGAATGCACAGAATATCCTGGAAATATAGATGTAAGTCGAGATCATTTAGTACCACCCATTAGCTACCTAGGCCTGAATAAGCTGAATAAGCCAAGCAATCTGTATATGCAACAAAGTGTGGAGGAAAAATATCCCTTATGTAGCAGTTGAGCAGATCTGCAGTCCCTCAAGTACAGTGCCTGTAACATACTTCTGCACTCCAAGATGTCCCAAATTGAAGTTTGAATGGCACAAGGAAATTTATCATTCCTCATAATTCTGGTGGAAGACTCAGGACTCCCTGGGTGAAGCAAAATGTGGCAATTCCTCTGCTTGCATTTGTTGCTTAAACTGGTCACAGGCTGATGCTTTGGGGTCTTCAGTAAGGCTGTATGGAATTTCCATCCTCTGGAAATATGCCAAAGTTTGCAGAAAAATATTTGTCCCACTTCTTAATAAAAACTAAAGAAACTAGACACCTTTTGCAGTTAATATGGGGAAAAGAAAAAGGGCAACTGTTGGAACAACCCACAATATATTTTACAGCTGGCTAGGAGTCTTTTGGTCTGACAAAAAAAAATAGATTCTCTGGTAAAGCTGAAATTGTCTAGCAGCAAATCGTTCTAGCATACAATTCCCTACTCCTTTCCCTGTTATATCTTTGGACTTTTTTCCTTGAATTGAAATATAAGCCAAAAATTATTGCACAACCAAACAAGGAGAGAAAAAAAAGAACCTCTTGACCGATTGCATTGAGTAAATGTCACCTGAATCAATAGAGTGCAACAGATGGAGGTTTTACCATTGTTTTTTCAAATTAATCATTAATTTATTTTTTTAAAGTAATGACTATAAATCTTCCTAGAATAGATTGTGATTCTGCCAGTTATGATTCATTAAACCAGTACAGAATGAGATCATTATCATTTAAGTAAGCATTTTTGAGACTGCCAAATATCCTCCAAGTATTTCCTGCAGCTGGGACTGCAAGCATCTTCCTTGGAGCTGGCAGGCTGCTTGCACCATATCCTGCTCCAAGAGCTTCTCGTGCCCCTGGCTTGCAGCCCTGTCATGGCCACAGGGCCCCGCTTGAGTGGGTCATTTCACTTGCCCCTCAGGCAGCAGCAAAACTGGAAGCTGACTTCAAGATGCAAAGCTGATTGTGGAGTCAGCACTTGCAGAGATGCACAACCATCACCCCAAGGAGCTGGGGCTGGAAAACTCTTCCCAGAGTAGGATTTTTGCCCATCCAAGCCTCCAGCTCAGCTGGCTGATCACTGGGACATAGCAGTCACTGATGCCTTTGGATAAACTGGGATTTGTCTCCTCCTCTTAGAAATTCCCACATTGTAAAGCCAAAGAACGCAGCAGGCAGAGTGCAGCCATAGGAGACAAGTTACCAAAAACAGGACTTTACTTTTTAATTTCTTTTTCGTGTAATTTCCTGACTGCATTATTGAAACAACAATGACATTAGAGGCATGATGCAGCTACAGGGAAAAAAGGTGCAGGTAAAAGCAAAAGAGCCAATGATGTAGAAGAAAGGAAAAGGAGCAGTAAAGGGAATTCACAACTTACCTAACAAATAGGCACACAACCATCCCCTGCCCCCCCAGCCTATTTTAGAGTCCTCTGACACATGAAGGATGTCAAAAAGTGAAAAACAAACAAAACCTCAAAAAAACCCAACCCCAAAGAAACCCACAAACCACCACCCCAAATTACAGCAATTACTTGATCGGGGCATTTTCACTTCCTAATCTGTGAGAGAGAAATTCCCCCGGGTCATCTGACCTCTGTTGAAACTAAACCAGGAAGAGGAGCAGCAGCAGTCAGCGAGTGCAGGGTGTTCTCCAGCTGTACAAAAGCCTCTCCTGCGTGAGCCAGAGCTCAGAGCAGCACAGGGATGTGCATGTGTGCGTATACATAGCAAGGCGAGGTGCAAATATCCTCCCAGCCAGATCATCTCTTGCACAACTCTCCAATCCTGTGCAGCCTGGCAGACCTTTTCTTTTTCCTTCTGCTGCTCGTCTCCAAACATGCCTCTAGAGCAGAGCTTCTGAAGAGCTGCTTCCCCCTCTGCATCTCCCTGAAAGCAGCTCTCTCCAAGAAGAGGCAGTGACCAGCAGCATGGTGGGAATGATGGCAATGAAGACATGGATTGAACCGGTGGTTGCAAGCTCGCAAGTGGCCAGTGCCTTCTACGACACAGCTCTGCTGCTGGTGGTGAAAAACTACTACAACCAGACCAATGGCACTGCTCCTTCCCATGCACTAGAAGATGCTCAGCAGAAGGCTGTCTCCAATTTTTACATCATCTACAACCTTGTTCTGGGCCTGAGCCCGCTAGTATCAGCCTACGGCTTGTCCAAGCTGGGGGACAGGATACATCGGAAGATCCCCATCTGCTTCCCTCTTCTTGGTTACTTGGGCTCCAAAACTCTCCTGCTCCTCCTGATCCTGCTGGGTTGGCCAATCGAGGTGATGTATGGGGCTGCTGCCCTCAACGGGCTGACGGGAGGCTTCACCACGCTTTGGGCAGGCATCATGGCTCTGGGATCCCTGGGCTCCTCCGAGAGCAGGAGGTCTCTGCGGCTCATCATTATTGAACTGGTGTATGGCCTCGCTGGGTTTGTGGGAAGCATGGCATCTGGCTATCTCTTTGTTGGCTTCAGTGACCACTATCGAGAAGGCACTGTGCTGGTGTGCTGCAGCATCGCTTGCTATGCTTTCTGCCTCCTCTACAGTATTTTTATCCTGACAGTCCCCAAGCCAGGAGCCTCCTGCCCAGCCAAAGCTAAGAGTGCAGAAGAGGTGGGTAGCCAGCTACCAGCCCATACAGGAGCAGCAACAGCAACAGGGAGTTCCCAACCTTCAGGGTGCAGCAGCTCCTCTCTAATATCCCCCTCGAAACTCATCATCATCCTGCTTTTTATGGCAGCAATCCTCTATGACCTTGCCGTAGTTGGTGCAATGAACATACTCCCACTGTTCTTGCTCAGGGAGCCTTTAAGTTGGAATGCTGTGGAGATCGGCCATGGCAATGCTGCTGGGTACGTGATCTTCATCACCAGCTTCCTAGGGGTACTTGTATTCTCCAGATGCCTCAGGGACATTACCATGATCATGATTGGAGTAGTATCGTTCAGTGCTGGCATCCTCATCATGGCCTTCGTGCAGTGGACGTTCCTGTTCTACATTGGTGAGTCAAACAGCCACTCACGTGAGCAAATGCACCCCAAGAAAGGGGTGTTCCAGCACCACTGGAAGGGCTTTTTGCTCTGCTTTACCACAGGTTTCCAAGCAGGGAGTTAGACAGACCGTCGCATGAGCAATATGCAAGAGAACTTTATTATTACCCTTTCCCCACATCTCCCACTGCACTCTTACACTCAGCACCCTACAACATCCAGAGGAGGCATATACTCCTGCCAAGGCTTAGTTTAAGGCCAGTTGACTTGTAATTTGTCATTTGATCACAGACCAGATCTGAGCAGGGAAACAATGTTCACGCTCTGCGGGAATGGGAATTACTGCTGACTCCCTGTACTAGTTGGACCACATCACCATATCACTGGGAAACACTTGCTTCTTGTGAGCCAGAAACAAAATGGCAAAGGCTTCCTATTAAGCAAACATCTTAAGATGGGATTTATTTTTTTCATATGAAGGCTCTTATGGCTGATGGGAAACTTAATGAAACATTGGAGCTGCTTTAGCAACTAAAACATCGTAATAATGTAGTTTACAAATCTCATATTATATATAAATGACCAAGAGACTGATAATAATAGACGGGGTGGCATCCAATGATAAACGAAAGGCAAGTTTATTTTTGGGAGGTAACCTTGACGGAACACAAAAAATAAAACCCAAGAATTGGGTTTTTGTAGCAGAAATGTCTGACAGAGTATCATGTATTGTATGGCTTTGAGGTTTTGCTTCTGAAAGTCAGAAAAAACATGAAGATAAATGGCCTGAAGCAATTTTTTCTGTCTGCCCCCACAGGGAATGAGAAATTGAAAATTAAACAAAGTTATTCTAGACGGAAAGATGACAGAATATTGTATTTGAGTAGTAAGCCAAACACTTATTAAGTGAAATTTTTAAGAGATTTTGCTTATTTAGGCAATTAGGATGGGGAATAAAAGATAAAAAAAAAAACAAAGTAAAAAAATGCTTGTTCATCATCATGAACACATGCTGCTATACAGTGTGTATAGTGTTACTGCACTGCAGAAGATACTGCATTGCAGAAGCATCTTGGTACACTAGACATGGACCAAGTCTTCCCTGAGGCTGGTTCTGCTGACAGGAAGGTAATTCCAGCTACCTATAAATTTCCACACTAGAGAAAGCCTAAAATACTGCAAGCCAGAAGTGCCAAGATAAAAGACAACTGTAGTATTATAAAGGTATTGTTCCTGTCAAGGCTGTGTAGTACTAGGGGCTCTGTCTGCTGCTTAGACTCAAATCACCATCCTTACTATCTCTAAGGACAGTGCTATATTCCATCTCTTCTGGGATGTCCGGCCGAGACCAAAGCCTGTGTCTAGTTTGGGCAAAGTACCTCTGCTAATGGGAGCAAGAGGTGGCTTATCTACCTTGTCTTGAAGCAAGGACCTACTTCTTTCTGGCACTCAAGGGACAAAAAAGACGAAGCAAAGAAGCAAAGTGCCTGCCCAAGCCAGAGGCATGTAGTCTTCAAAAGCAGTGGCTGCTGTGCTAGGTAACAAAGAGCAGGTACTGATGATAACTACAAATTCATTGCATTACAGCACGGGCAGTGATGCTCTTTGCCCTCATCCCCTTACCAACCATCAGGTCCATGTTGTCCAAGCATGTCGAAGGATCATCCTATGGTAAGTATTTGTTACCCTACCAATCAAAAAACCCCACAAATCTCTTCATTCAGCCTAGACCACAAAGAGAAAGGTAAGTTATTGCTGCAATCTGTGCTTTGTGTAATAATAACAGGACAGATGATACCACAAATGGGAAGGGAGGAGCAGAGAAACTTGCAGGACGAGACTGTCACATCCAATCTTCTTGCTTGCATCATCATTTATCCGCAGAATTTTCAGCACGTGCTTTGAAAGATTACTATCAGTGTGTAGGTCAAAAGCAGGGAAAATAATTGAGGTGCTGCTCAAAAACACAGTACTCCAGGGAAAACCAAGAGCACCAGGATGTTGAGTTAAAGCACTGTGATATTCACACCATTTATATTTGGCTTCTTTTACTTACTGTTTTGGAAAGGATGGATTTCTTTCATCTTTTTTTTTTATGTTCTCCAAACGTTTTTCCACATGTTTGGCAATTTGTTCCTGTCAGACCATGATTTAACTACAAAGAATAAACTTTGCATAAAAATGGACCCTTTTTTGAACATAGCAGCAGGAATTCTTTTCCATTAGAAAATTTACCACAAAATAGTAAAATATATTTTACAAGAGTGTATTGAAGGTACGATTTTTACACCAATGAGCTAGATTTAGACACAAGAGACACATGTTCAAATAGCACCACAGGCCCCCAACTACTCCATGTCCTCCAAACAGCCATCCTTCACAACCCTGTCCTTTCTGCCTTAGGAACACAACACTGTTCTGTAACCAGCTCACTCCTACTGCTTGTGCTCCCTCAATGTGCACTGTAGCAAAACCATCTACCTGACACAAAGAGCACAGCTCACATTCCAATTAATCATTATTATTAATCATAACATTGTTTTAAACCTCCACCATGAACCATATGGGCTGCACCTGATGACAGCAGCAGACCAGATCTCAAGCAGGACCCTGCAGCAGAGCAGCCCTTGCCTTCTGGTAGCAGTCTCATCTCCTTTCATGGAGGAAAAGGCTACCAGGGCAACAAGCTCAGCATGCAGCCCTGATCTTGCTCCCAGTTTGCACATCCCAACCAGGCTGCATTACTTCCCCTTCACCCATTTATCATGAGAGACACACTTAGAAAAAGCTGTTTCAACTAGAATTTTTTGAACATAGCAGCAGGAGTTTTTTTCCATTAGAAAATTTACTACGAAATTGTAAAATATATTTTACAACAGTGTATTGAAGGTACCATCATACAAATCACATATACCTCCCCATTTCAGGCATTATCATCCTTTCAACCCTGTGGCCCACTCTTCTGGCCTAGGGCAGAAGCAGACTGTGACTAAAGTCTCTCCTGTCCTGAAGATGTTTCTACCTTCTAGGGAAAGGAGCACTTATTGCCCAGTTTATTGCTGTTTTTCTAAGCAGCTACCTTTACATCTAGACTCTTCAAGCCGTTTTCCAGCTAGATCTTTTGTCCTATACCAAACAGAAGGAAAAATCATTTAACTGTGGTCTAGAACAGAAGCAGATACAAGCTCATGTCATCTGGTATTTTGTGAAGCAATGACCACATTGCTCTTCCACACAGCTGTGACCCTGGATTTGTGAAGAGGTACCACAGCCGGTTTTTTAATCCCCAATAACAAACTATGTTCTTGTTTTACAGGTAAGGTGTTTGTCCTGCTGCAGCTGTCTTTAGTCATCACGGGAGTAGTGACATCTACAGTCTATAACAAGATCTATCAAAACACACTGAACTGGTACAGCAGCTTCTGCTTCATTTTGTCTTTTCTAGTTGGCTGCCTGAGTCTTCTCCCTTTAAGGTAAGGAATAGAAAAGGCTTTGTTCAAAAGGACACACTATATTTTCTCCGTGCTTCCTGATATTAAGTCTAAAGCGAATAATATAGGTGGGGAAAAGAAAGTTGAATTTAAAATGAAAAAAATTGGAAGAAACAAAGAAACTTGCAGAAAGGTGTTGACAAATATCCAGGACATTCAAAGAATGAAAGTTGCAATATCTAGTCAGTGTTTCCTTAATCTTTTTTTTTTGCTTAATGTAGCATGAATACTTGGCAGATTTTAAGTGATAATCCCAGGAAACAATGCATTCACACAGATGTAAGTGCTTGATACTGTGAAAATAGTAGTAGGTCGAATGAAAGAATAATCCTACACAAAGCAAAATGTTTTTTAAAAATTCCATTACAGGTTACTTACTCATTGTGATAGAAAACAATAATCTGAGTTTCCCTCAGGTTTTTCTTTCAAAAAGAAACCATTACCACAGTGAAGGAAATGGTTACTTTTCTGAGCCACTGACTTTGCCCAACTGTACCACTACAGAGTGACTGAGAGGTATAATTTCAAGAACAAGTTTTAAGCGCAAAACCAGCTTAATTTGAAGAGAGAAGGCTGAAATAGCATCTCTATCTACTTTTCCAGAATTTTTGAAGTATCTGTCTCCAAATCTCAGCTATGCTTTGCTATGATTTAAAAAAATATAGTAGTAGAAAGTTTAAAGGCACTATGTATACCCACTTCAGTGGTATCACTTAAAGAGGAAGAAACGAAAAAGGAACAGTAAGGAAAGCTCTTACATCACCACCTGTTTTATCCAGAGCACCAAAGGCTTTCTGGGCTTGTGAACACACTCGACAACTGGTGTCAGCAGGACTACTAGTGTGGGAGAGGCTATATCATACTCATCATTCCCCTGGCTCTGCTTGTCCTCGTCACGTTTCCCAGACACAAAGGAGTTGTTTCTTATGCACAATCCTCTGTTTAACAGGGAGTCACTGCTTGGTACTCAAATTTTTAATACTGGTTCCTGTAATTAGGGGTTATTAGGACTTGAAGTCTGAAATGTGACAACTGGTACCAATCTCATTGTTTGTACACAAGAGAGGCTGGCAAATCACTGAAAGGATTCACATTAGCACTCAGCCAGCTTCAGGTACCCCAGTAAAGTTTAAGATATAGATGGGGAGAAAGCAAACTGCAGTTTGAGAAAGTACTTTGCTAATTTTTTTTATCATCTGCATTTTTATTGTTCTTTACAGCTTTGTGGCCATCAAACAACGTTCAACCACTGGCTCCCTTCAGATTCTGACTGAGTGACAGGCATCTTTTGGTTGTTATCAACTCTCTAAGCTACCGAAGTGGAAGGTTTGCCAAGCGTTAGTCCCCACAGTTACCAACATTACCGAAAGCATATAATTTGTATTTCCATTTCACAGCATGCCCCGGCCTCTCAGTCACTAAGCTCACTCAGAAAAAGAAGCTTTCCTTGTTACTTCTGCAGTACCTCATCTTGTAGAGTACGTGCATTGGTTATTGCACACTAGCAGTCCTAGAGCATTCTGCTTTCTGCTGGGCTAAGTAGCAATAGCACAGAGGGACAACAATAAACGTTAGAAATGAAAACAGTGTTTCTAGACACACCATTCAGTATGGAAGGGGAAAACAGAGGATCAGTTTTCCATTAGTTCCTTCCTTTCTGTTCATTCAGAAACCTCAGGGCAGTTCTGTGACTTTGGCTGATGAAACAGGGGGCTGCGAGCCACAAAGAACATGCACACAGCCATGAGCAGGACACACCAGCTCTCCCAAGTGCTACAGAAGATGTAATCAGCACAGCCAAATAACGTCACATAAAAGACCATTAAATACAGAAATACCATCATAAAAAGATGTAAGATTAAGACACTTTTAGTAATTCCTACAATAAAACACTCCTGGAACAGATATTCGTGCCCTTGACTTCTGGGAAATTGTCCCGCTCTCCCTGGACAGTCCTGCAACAGAGCTCACAGGACTAAGACTCAAGAGCCAATGCTGGTATTTCAGCTCACACCACCAGGATGTGCTGCTCTTGTAACATGCTAGGAACAGGTAAGCACAGCACACTACTCCTACAGGTTTGTGGAGGTGTAGGGACACCGATACCAGGCAATAGTCACCTTGTTACCTCATCTTTAATCTGGGTTGGAAAGGAACCTCATACAATACAGCAACTAGAATGTGACAATGTCAGATAAATCCAAACATGAGTCAAAAGTCTGGCATGCCTCAAAAGAATGTGTTTGCTTACACACTAATTGAACTAACAACGATTAAGTGGCTTCCAAGGTCCTGGACTAAGAAAAGGGAAGTTAAAAGACCTTTAGTAACTGAAATAATCTGGAGGCAAATCAGGGGCAGCTTCAGTTCAAGCAGGGATGCAGCAAGAAGTTGGTTATTCACTATGCAACCCCATCTTCTGAGGAGGTTGCTGCCACCCAGTTCCTCTCCACACACACTTGCCATCTTTCCTCAGCTCCATGCTTCACTTTCAGTAGCAGAAGTAATGCAACAACAGAGGACTTCTACTTAAATCAACTGCGGAATAAGATTTTAGGGAAAGGGTATTTCTGCAGTAAGATAGTGAGCTGCTCAACAAAATAAGCACACACATAATTTCAGTGGTGAAGGCTGCAAAAAATGAAACTTTATTCTAAGTAAAGGAGTCCTCTTTTAATACATTTATTGGTCCATTCCATTAAATTAATTGAGGTAAACAGACGGTGCATTTTAAAAAAATGTACACGCTAATAGAGAATTACAAACAGTTTTACCTCAAAATGTTTTTCTCCATCAATACTAGTTCCATAGTAAACAATGCACAAAGTATACAGAGATATATGAAAGGGTATAGAAACATGCCAGCACCAGAAGGCAAGACAACATTTCCTAGCCTGCGAGTCTGAACAAGAGCACAGTTACCAGATTTGGTCAATCTGGTAGGAAACAAAAGCCTCCTTCCCTTTTTACATTGTTTACTAGCTAATTCACACAGAGACAAGTCTTTTCACAGCTTTCATTTTGTTTTTAAACAGTATGAACAGTGACTCTAGTTCTGGTGAGTGGATTTACAGAGGTTGAAACCAGAAGTCTGGATAATGAGCCAGCACCATTTTGGTCCCCACCACTGACCCCTTCAACACAATGTGTGAGGCTCATAGCCAGCTTACCTTCAACTGCATGGCCCAACTCTCCAGACCTTAAGGAGGGACAGACGGATGCAGGCACAGAGGAAATGAGAACAAGGACGGTGCTTCATTATTTTTGTGTACTACAGACAAAAGCCCTTTGGCTCTTTGTTATTACAGGACTGTCAGCAACCTGCCTCCCTGTGCAGTGGGAATGTGGCACTGGCCCCAACCCTGCTGTTTGATCTGAGGGTATGGATACATCTCAGCAGCAGCAGAGTTAAGGAAACGGTTTAGCTTCAAAGCATAGAGTACCAAGACCTTCAAAGTAGTGTAGACAGCAACCAGCCTTTATTGTTTCAGCATGCCTCTTATATAAGGCTGATCTACGTCTACCTCTTTGGAAAGTGCATTATTTTCTGCACAAATACTGTGCCCTAGGCATGCAACCTTAAAACTTATCCAGTTCATTACTAAGTATTTGTACGAGTCAGACACCTCAGCAAGACTTCAAAGTGCTAAGCACAGAATTAAGCACTGCCACTTTAGTCTGTAAAGTTGGTTAAACAGCACTCCCAAAAACTTTTAAATGCAACATTCAGTCTGCCAGAAGGCAAGTTGATTCCTGTGATCCCCAGTTTTACTTCACAAAACAAACAAACAAAAATAATCTCAAAGTAGTAGCAACTCCCCTATCTTAAAAAAAAGTCCCTACTTTCCCTACGTATTGGTTATTGTAGTAAAAGTTAATATACCAGAGGAAAAACTGTTCTACCTTCAGAATTTAAGATGACTGAACATCGAATGAGCTAATTTAGTCTATGCAATTTTGCTCAAGGGTTATCAGCACCAGGATTTTAAACAGTATGCAACATTAATCATAACCATATACAGTTAAATTATACAAGTTTTAACAAAAGCATGGCTCCTGTTGAAACACTGAACAGTCCCTGCTGGTCTGGGAGGGGATTCTTTTGTATGTTGGCATCTGCAGGACACTTGAAGCAACATGCATCATGAACAGGCTATGCAGAGCCACTGCTGCAAGGCTACTGCACAGTACCTCCACTGAACTGTCTCTGCCGCTCATGCTTTGTGGATATTTTTTTCTACCACTTATCACACTACTTTATCCTTAGAACAAGCATTAGTGCAACAAAAATCCAAGCAGACTTCAGTGAAGAATCCATAGTTTATTCCTTAATACAATTCATATCAGAATAGTTTGTGTCTTTAGGGCTACACCTTTTCATTTTTCAATGTGTACCTGAAAAAGCCATGGTGTTTTAACATCTATATTTATTGCAAGATTTAGAGCCTGGTAAAGATATACATGAACAATGCATGGTCCATAACTGAGCACAGAAACAAGTGCTTTATTGTGCTGGTGCCACTTAAGAGAAGAAACAAACATCCCCAAAAATAACCAGGACAGCAGCGAATTAGTATCCTCCAAGAGGGACCCTGGCCTGGCTGTGGATTAAGAGGACAGCTGGGCTGATTTAAGGACTGCTGAAGAAACCATGTGTTACAAAGGCTCACAACAAGGGTGCCAACTACTTTTGATGTCATTTTGGTGCATATGCAGACGGTGATCTAAGTGACTTAACACTCAAGAAGTTACTCAAAGATGAAGCTTCCGCACTACTCCTGCTTCCCTTTACCAAGACCTTTTACTTATCTCATGTAAGTTTGGGCCATCCAAAGTAAAGACTCATATCCTGTAATAATTACAGGATAACATGTCATGAGTTTCTCTAGCAGTTCAGGTCTCAACCTCCCACTAGCAGCAGTTATGTGAGGCTTTACAAGTATTACTCTGTAAATCTTAAGAGGAATTTCTTGTAACTTTTGTAGTTCTCCTGACTGGCATGTTTGGCTGCCCCAAATATCACAGTCAGGAATCCTCCACACACCTCACAGCCTCTCCCACAGTTACCTCGTGATTTAACAACAGCTCTTCATAAAAAGACACCACTCCATAGCTCATAGGAGCTGAGACTCACCACTACACACCATTCTTACACTGTGGCAATTCTTGCAGAGAACTCCTCTTTTGAACGTGAAGTTTTACTTTCCTTGTATAGGCTTCAGACCATGTAATATATCCTGTTAGTGGCCACTGCCTGACATGCATGTTCCAGCCTCTTCTCCAAATCAACCTGCAGTTGCCACAGTGCCACATGCTCCGAGAAGTGCAAAGTGTGCCTGCCTTTCCAGCAGCATAGCCAGAAAGCGATTTGTCTGAAATCAAAACATGTTTTGGATGAGGACGAGTTTAAAAACCATACCACAAAATCGGTGGCATCAGATGGAATAAAATTTAAGCTTATGTTCAACATCTCCAGCCTTAACAGTTACATGTTGATTTCAACTTCACTTGGTACTCTCCACGTCCATTATGCTTCTCATGCACAGCTTTGATGTTAATTGCTAAACTCCCCAGAATCAACACCCACTTCAGTCTGACATAAAACTAAGTGGGAACAAGACCTCAGTCTTGTAAGGCATCAGATGAAACCACCTGTAGGAAAAACCCACCAATCTCTCTACTCATCTTTTGCTGGTTTTTGTTTGTTTTTTTTTTTTAATAAGATGGAGGGAACACTGACTAAGTATTAGTTCAAATTATATTTTGCTTGACTCCCAGTGATGTTGTAGAGTCAACTACAAAATTCCATTTACCACACAGGACCCAACTCCAAAAGTATGTTGATCTCTGTTTGTGGAGAACAGGGAAGACTGTAACCCTGAAGGTCACACTCTTAGATAGTATGCAAGTGCTTATTCTAGAAGGAAAGACTGCTTCAAGATGATCCCCCTAAGTACTTCCCTTGCACAACAAGAGTAGTCTGTTATTCTGAGCCTAACAATAACTTAATGCAGAGTTCTCATTTACACCACATAAGTGTATAGACAAACTGAGTTTAAAACAAGAAGCATAGTTTGTTTAGTACCACAGAGTTGTCAGTGAAGGCTGAATCAAAAAGGAAGACCTCTTAAAATGTCTTAAACTTGACTTTTTCATTCAGAGAGCACCACCTCATTAGCCTGAGAGCTACCACAGTACTGCAATAACTCATCTTGAGAGTTGCTATAAAGCCAACAAGCTGAGTAGGCTGCAGGTTCACTTGGTGTTTAGGAAGGGACAAATTCCAAAACAGACAAATTCCAAACCTGATAGGTTGTCACAGGAGAACACAGAATTTGGACATTCTCAATTACTGCTCAGGTTCTTTGCAAGAATGTTAACCGAGATCAAGTAATCACTAAAATTTAACAGTAAGCACTGAGTTA